GTTAAATAACTGATTTATAAGATACGTACTTTCATTCCTACATAACAAGTTAGATAACTGATTTATAAGATACGTACTTTCATTCCTACATAACAAGTTAAATAACTGATTTATAAGATACGTACTTTCATTCATACATGACAAATAAAGGTTTTTCACGTTCACGGTGGCCGCATTGTCGTTCTCTGTGATTGGTTCTTGAAACAGGTCTAATGAGGAGAAAAACATTTTTAATTCAGTCTATTTTCTATGTTGTCTTCTTAACTACAGAAACACTGTACCCACATTTTCACCAAACAAAGACATTGTGGTTGTTCATGTTTTGTTCACGGCTAAAATAAATATCGATATAATTGTGTCCTATTATTAGTAAATGTTCGTATAACTGTATTTCACTAATACCTAAAATAGATGTTCGTACAACTGTATTTCACTAATACCTAAAGTAAATGTTCGTATAACTGTATTTCACTAACACCTAAAGTAAATGTTCGTATAACTGTATTTCACTAACACCTAAAGTAAATGTTCGTATAACTGTATTTCACTAACACCTAAAGTAAATGTTCGTATAACTGTATTTCACTAACACCTAAAGTAAATGTTCGTATAACTGTATTTCACTAACACCTAAAGTAAATGTTCGTATAACTGTATTTCACTAACACCTAAAGTAAATGTTCGTATAACTGTAGTTTCACTAACACCTAAAAGTACATGTTCGTATAACTGTATTTCACTAACACCTAAAGTAAATGTTCGTATAACTGTATTTCACTAACACCTAAAGTAAATGTTCGTATAACTGTATTTCACTAACACCTAAAGTAAATGTTGGTATAACTGTATTTCACTAACACCTAAAATAGATGTTCGTACAACTGTATTTCACTAACACCTAAAATAGATGTTAGTATACCTGTATTTCACTAACACCTATAACAAATATTAATGGGATTGTATAGTTTTAACGACTAAAATAAATACTGTAGTGATTGTATTTTTAACGGCTAATTTAAACGTATTTTATTGGCGAAGACAATATACGTCTGTGTAAATTTACTTAACAACATTTATTATTTGATGTTGTTAAGTTTCGTATTTTATTAATGGATAAACTATATTTCAGTACGACTATAATACTGTGCAAATGATTATTTTCTGCTATCCGTCTTTAAAGATGCATTAAACTGGCCCGACATGGCCAGGTGGTTAGGGAGGTCGACTCGCAATCTGTGGGTCGCGGGATCGAATCCCCGTCCCACCAAACATGCTCACCCTTTCAGCCTTGGGGGCATTATAATGTGACGGTCAATCCCACTATTCGTTGATAAAAGAGTAGCCCAAGAGTTGGGTGGTGATGCCTAGCTGCCTTCCCCTCTAGTCTTATACTGCTAAATTAGGGAAGGCCAGTGCAGATAGCCCTCGTGTAGATTTGCGCGAAATTCAAAAAAGAAACAGATACATTAACACGTGTCGTATATCATAGCAACTTATCTCACATGTTTAGATACTCTAAAGTTAAACCCGTCGAAGCGATTTAATGTTTTCATTGGTCATTAGACATTGTTAGGGAAGATTATATAAGCTTTTGGACATACTGGTGTCACATAGGAACAGAAAATAGTCCACAAAGATACTAATTATTTTTTGTACATTTTATAACTTGCGTTATTTCCTTAATGCTCGTTCCGTTGAAAGGATTGGTAAAATAGGTTGATATCTATATTTGTTTTATTACCTTGAATTGATAACGTAGTATACGAATTTAGGGCTAACCTAAATCTCTTTAACTGGCCGCATTACGTGAGATATTATTGGGATTATGTTAACCCAGATTAATATTTACATGTATTGTTGCTCCGTTAACCAAGATTAATATTTACATGTATTGTTGCTCCGTTAACCAGGATTAATATTTACATGTATCGTTGCTGAGTTAACCAGGATTAATATTTACATGTATTGTTGCTGAGTTAACTAAGATTAATATTTACATGTATTGTTGCTGCGTTAACCAGGATTAATATTTACATGTATTGTTGCTTAGTTAACCAGGATTAATATTTACATGTATTGTTGCTGCGTTAACCAGGATTAATATTTACATGTATTGTTGCTGAGTTAACCAGGATTAATATTTAGATGTATTGTTGCTGCGTTAACCAGGATTAATATTTACATGTATTGTTGCTGCGTTAACCAGGATTAATATTTACATGTATTGTTGCTCCGTTAACTAAGATTAATATTTACAAGTATTGTTGCTGCGTTAACCAGGATTAATATTTACATGTATTATTGCTGCGTTAGCCAGAATTAATATTTACATGTATTGTTGCTGCGTTAACCAGAATTAATATTTACATGTATTGTTGCTGCGTTAACCAAGATTAATATTTACAAGTATTATTGCTGCGCTAACCAGGATTAATATTTACATGTATTATTGCTGCGTTAACCAGGATTAATATTTACATGTATTATTACTGCGTTAGCCAGAATTAATATTTACATGTATTATTGCTGCGTTAGCCAGAATTAATATTTACATGTATTGTTGCTGCGTTAACCAGGGTTAATATTGATACTAATTTATTCTTGTGAATTATTCAGCTAGATTAGCTGTTTAAAGTACTAAAAAATACATACGAAGTCCAATTTATCATTGGAAATTCCACCCATGATCAATAGCCTTTTACGTTTATTTTTTTAGTATTTAAACACTTTCTTAAAATTTCTATAGAAGTAAAACCCTTTCTGACGTCACGTGTCCGAAAACAGCTTAACTTCCGTTATAAGATACTTGTGTCCGGAAACAACTTAACTTCCGTTATAAGATACTTGTGTCCGAAAACAACTTAACTTCCGTTATAAGATACTTGTGTGTTTGTGCTTCTTTCACAAACAAAGGTTGAACTGAAGAGGACGCTCGAAAGCGTTCAAATATATTTACATAAATAATTGTGGTTCCATTATAGTGGATCTACACATTATTTTATGGTCAACAGTGGGTTTAACGCGTGAGCCCTCCATTTGGGTGAGTGGACAAAGTGGACAGTTGTGCTGTAAAAATCAACAATCTAATACGTGCTGTGACTGATACATTCTTCTTATATATATATTCTATATCTAACCATCATTGGAACACGAATATTAAAATTTACAATGAATCTCCGGGTCAACCAGACCAATTGTATATTTTTCGATAACAAAGTACGGTTCGCGTGATATCCAGGAATCCGGAAATATCAGAATAGAATATAGGGATATGTAGGGAATGATCTTTTATCTTGATTTTTTATGGGCATAATGATCGTAATGATCAAAGTTAACCACCTTCGCTGCTCTGGACACGACTGTCTTGTCAGTAACCAGTGGTAGCAAAGACTAAGTGATCACTTAGACCACACGTCTGCTCAAGGAGACACTGATTGACAAAGATGTTTCATCAGAATTTCGAGTTTTGTCAGTTTTACTGTCGTACTCATTTCAAAAATTTTTTTCAATTAAAGCAAAAACGCATCATTCAGTAGCGTTTCAAAAACTGCACCAACAAGACAACTTTCAGTCAGGCACTGGTGCCGTGAGCGTGCGTTGATTGGTTGCTAAGTGAACACACAGTGTAAACAACAAGACACATTTCAGTCAGGCACTGGTGCAGTGCGCGTGCGTTGATTGGTTGCTAAGTGAAGCACACAGTGTAAGTAACAAGACATCTTTCAGTCAGGCACTGGTGCAGTGCGCGAGCGTTGATTGGTTGCTAAGTGAAGCACACAGTGTAAGTAACAAGACAACTTTCAGTCAGGCACTGGTGCATTGCGCGTGTGTTGATTGGTTGCTAAGCGAAGTACACAGTGTAAGTAACAAGACACCTTTCAGTCAGGCACTGGTGCAGTGCGCGAGCGTTGATTGGTTGCTAAGTGAAGTACACAGTGTACATGATTTAAGAAATATAATGCGCACTGATGTTAGTGCGTGTGTATAGAATTAACTATTTAACAACTGTATTAGTAGGTGTATTTTTAACTGGTAGAAATATTACATTTTTTAGGGAGTGGGTGAAGGGTTCCAAAAATATTCACGCTTAGGGCCTCAGTTGGCTAGTCTCGCCCCTACCAGCTTAATTCTTTCGTGAATATAATTTTATTGGTAGACAATTCTCCATCACGTGCTCTTCTGCAGCCCCCGTTCATCTTCTTCTTCTTTGATAATTCGCAGCGTTGTTTTTCATCATCACCTTCACTATTAACGATCTTCAGTATCCTGCACACTATTACTATCTTCAATATCCTGCATACTATTACTATCTTCAATATCCAGCACACTATTACGATCTTCAGTATCCTGCACACTATTACTATCTTCAATATCCTGCACACAATTACGATCTTCAATATCCTGCACACTATTACTATCTTCAATATCCAGCACACTATTACGATCTTCAATATCCTGCACACTATTACTATCTTCAATATCCTGCACACTATTACGATCTTTAATATCCTGCACACAATTACGATCTTCAATATCCTTCACACTATTACTATCTTCAATATCCAGCACACAATTACGATCTTCAATATCCTGCACACTATTACGATGTTCAATATTCTGCACACTAATACTATATTCAATATCCTGCACACTAATACTATCTTCAATATCCTGCACACTATTACTATCTTCAATATCCTGCACACTATTACGATCTTCAATATCCAGCACACAATTACGATCTTCAATATCCTTCACACTATTACTATCTTCAATATCCAGCACACTATTACGATCTTCAATATCCTGCACACTAATACTATCTTCAATATCCTGCACCTTATTTGTTTTCATTACTATCATAATCTTTGTCATTATTCAGTTCATTCCTTTTTCTATAAACTGGTTATGTTTGGTCACTCTGGTGTCAGTGTTTCTTGACCCATTTTTTCTGTTAGGGTGTAGAGGCTTCCCGAGGTAACATCTTACACAAAGAAGTGTTCAACTACCTTTTTACATTCTTTTCAGTTTTAGGGTTGACGAGCACCGTTGGATTCTTCATATGACAACGAATATTCCGTAAAATTTTGAAGACAGTTTGGGAAATATGAGATAATATTTTCAACTAACCTTGTTTTCACCTCGTATAAAATACCAATAAATAACTTCTTATTATATTCTATATTCAAACGACTATCTTTAATCTCAGCTTTTAATAGTTTCATTTAAGATATACCTTCACATTAGGCCCGGCATGGCCAAGTGGTTAGGGCGCTCGACTAGCAATCTGCGCGGGGGCGTTATAATGTGACGGTCAATCCCACTATTCGTTGGTAAAAGAGTAGCCCAAGAGTTGGCGGTTGGTGGTGATGACTAGGTGCCTTCCCTCTAGTCTTACGGTGCTAAATTGGTGACGGATAGCGCAGATAGCCCTCATGTAGCTTTGCGCGAAATCCAAAACAAACAAACCTTCACATTAAAGTCCTCCCGATGAAGCAGGAAGCGCGGAACGTTGGCTGACATAATGCTTTTTTTATTATGATCCCAAGAGTAACGGTGTTTTTTTTTTCTCTCTATCTTTTTTTCCAAAATATGCCGTTTGTTACAATAAAAATAATGGTTTATAAATATTCAACAACAGAATCTGATTAATACCATTAGAAATATACTTATTCGATTAAATTCAAAATATAGAGCTAAGCCTTTTATACTATGATGTCTATAAATGCAAAATAACTGAACAAAATGTTTATATAGAATGTTTTAATACACCATTTTAATATTACTGGTAAATAAGCTAGTCAGTATTTGTCCTTTGGTTTACTGGAGATGAGATTCAATGGATAATATCTTATAATTTACTGAAATTCTAAATTCCGAATGTTACATTTTTACCTCTCAGTGTCGTCTTCAAGTTGTCTTTCATAAGAGAAAATGTATTGTACTGGGGTCTATCAGCCGGAAGAGAGTGATAGCGATGCCAGTTTCCACATGCATACTGATAAAAGTCATCGCAAGGGTTTACCGTAGGGTCCATGTTCTTAAGAAGTTCTGCCGCTAGATGGAGCGTAATTCGTATGCAAATAAATTTCATATATTAATGTTTAACATAAAATTTTGTTTTAACGTTTCTTTAGCAAGAATGTCACGAGGTTAACAAAAAAAAAAATTAATGTTAGACAGTAAGTTATTCAGGAATTAATTACAACATAGATTACATATGCCCAGTGTAAAATATGTACTGAAATTGTTGTCCCTAAGTACTATTTTTAACATGTGTCATATTTGGAACTTTAAATGTGTACAATTTCAGTATCGTTATTAACTTCAACCAGTGTAGAGTAAACAACAAACAAACAACTAAAATGATGATATTGTATATAAAAAAATACCTTGACACCAGGTGAGCAGTACAACTGATGGGTTCTAGAGCTAAGAAAAGCTACCAGGGGAACAGTACAACTAATGGGTTCTAGAGCTAAGAAAAGCTGCCAGAGGAGCAGTACAACTGATGGGTTCTAGTGCTAAGAAAAGCTGCCAGGGGAACAGTACAGCTGATGGGTTCTAGAGCTAATAAAAGCTGCCAGGGGAACAGTACAACTGATGGGTTCTAGAGCTAAGAAAAGCTGCCAGAGGAGCAGTACAACTGATGGGTTCTAGAGCTAAGAAAAGCTGCTAGAGGAACAGTACAACTGATGGGTTCTAGTGCTAAGAAAAGCTGCCAGAGGAACAGTACAACTGATGGGTTCTAGAGCTAAGAAAAGCTGCTAGAGGAGCAGTGCAACTGATGGGTTCTAGTGCTAAGAAAAGCTGCCAGGGGAACAGTACAACTGATGGGTTCTAGAGCTAAGAAAAGCTGCTAGAGTAACAGTACAACTGATGGGTTCTAGAGCTAAGAAAAGCTGCCAGAGGAGCATTACATCTGATGGGTTCAACATGTGGTAGTGTCTGGAGTGGAGAGTACCTCATTTTGACATGTAGCTAGGAAACTACTCCCCACTCCAGACAGTACCACATGTTGACATGTAGCTAGGAAACTACTCCCTACTCCAGACAGTACCACATGTTGACATGTAGCTAGGAAACTACTCCCCACTCCAGACAATACCACATGTTGACATGTAGCTAGGAAACTACTCCCCACTATAGACTGTACCACATGTTGACATGTAACTAGGAAACTACTCCCCACTCCAGACAGTACCACATGTTGACATGTAGCTAGGAAACTACTCCCCACTCCAGACAATACCACATGTTGACATGTAACTAGGAAACTACTCCCTACTCCAGACAGTACCACATATTGACATGTAGCTAGGAAACTACTCCCCACTCCAGACAGTACCACATGTTGACAGCGGTAAGCACCATGGATGCTATAACAACCTACTCTCTCATGAAATACTGTATTCGGTGAGCTCAGTTCTTGGACAGTGGATGCACTTGTGTTTAGCGTTTATCCTTCCAGGAACCTTTACTGAACCATCTGCAAGCCACGACAAGACAAAGCGCAGCTGGACGGTCACTGCAGCTCGATACACCACAGTTCTAGAGCAAGGTCTTTTGTTTACCTGTCCACACAAATGACCCACTTACTAGTGAAGGTAGTGTTATCATGAAAAAAGTGGCCATATTTCTTTCAGCCCTGGTCACAAAATGTAGCTTCGAAGCTCATGGCCAGTCCAATGCGTGGTCCCCTCTCGACAGCATCCCAAACACCCTCATCCAAGTTAATCGCCAGGAGGGGATACAATCCTAAAGGCCTAGAGTACAGATCTTGCGAATACAATATGTAACCGTGTTTGTGCCTTGAATTATCGAAAGACCAAATACACTAAATACGACAATGTTCTCCTCTTTGTTTCATGTTGAGTGCTTGTCTATTGACTCCATCGGAGGCCGTGTATACCGTCAAACTCTTATGTCCTTTGTATACCCCTGTCAGTATTTAACCTTTTCCCCCTCATCTAAACTTTTATAAAATATTTTTTCTATATACTCTGTCCAACTTCTTTTCTGTAACACTGACTTCGTGGGTTATCATTTTCTGCCCCTTTTTTGTTGTTGAGACAGGATATTAGGTTTAAGTTATATATATATTTACATCTTTGTTATTAATTTTACGAGGTTTTGTGGTTATCTGTTCAGTGTAATTTATTAAATTAAAAGTAAATCGGTCAGATTAAAACACTGATAGATAACAGAAAAGTATATATATATATAAAAAACCAATATATAATATGCTATTCTTACTTACCAGCTCTGACACACGTCTCAGTGACACAAATACCAGGACAAACGGACTCATTTTCGGTTGCGACCTCTGCTGTCGAAATAATAATAATACACAACATCAGTAAAGGCGTTTTTTGAAATCACAAATAAAAATTTTTCAGTAAGTAGCAGAGTGGTATATTGTGAAGACATAAGAAATTGGATTACTATTTATCATTATATTATAGATTTTAGTTAAGATTGCCATTGTTTGGGCCGGTTCTAGCCTCCCCTCCCCTTTCATTAGCTTGATTCATCTGATCGTTTTGACCAATAACAGAGCTTTTCAGAAACAATGGGTGGGGAGACGTCCAATCAACAAAGACCTCTCGTTTCTTACAAAAACATCGTTTTTTAATAGTATTTTTTTTATAGAGATTAGTGTTCAAAAAGCATTTATGGTTATATTAGTGTGCCCCTAGCGTCGAAACTTATAATAAAGCAGAGAGGTCTTCATTAAAATAATTGTTTAAAGGCTTAGGCTTTTTTTTTGTTCAGTTAAAAGTTTATAATCTTTTCAATGTAATATTTTGTATTATTAATATGTGAATTAAATAAAACCATTTAACATACAGTTTTATAATGTGAACAACAACAAGACGAAAAATATTATAATTGGTTTATGTTTTACGAAGTTTATGAAAGAACCTAGGCTATCATGTAATTAAAAACGTCACAATAAAATACGACATAAGACTTAATAAAAAACAAACTGAAATCGACAAGAAATTAATAAAAGAAAATAAAAGAAAGTAAAAGAAAAGAAAATCTTGCATCATGCTGATCATACCATTTCGCCTACCTCTGGGGAGGAGGGACGTACTGCTACGTGTCAATAAAACAAGCATAATAGCGCATAGTGTTGACATCAGCAACAATATAGTCAGCAAAGTTCGTTCTAAGACTGTTTTGGGGAAACCCCAACATCGCCACCTGGTAGCATGTAATGGAAACAGAGTAAGTAAGTACTTATTAAAGTAATGTAAAAATTCTTTTCCTATAGACTAGATGATTATAGTTATTATGATTACTTTCTATTATTAGCTTATAATATGGATTCAGGACTAATCTAAATCTTCTACATTGGCTAAGCCTCGTGAGATATAATCAGGATTACGGTCGAAAATGTCGTCAATAGCAAGGGTACCCAACTAATGAATTATAACATTTTAATCTTTATAAGTTATGATTTTTCATATTCTTAGTAAGCATAGTATTTTGAATTAGCTACACTAACTACTAAATTAAGTTTTAGTTTCGATTTATGTAGGTAGCTTGCTTTGATAAGAAATTATTGATACTTACAATTAACTACAGAATTTTGTACACACCATTTTTGTCTAAAATTTATAAATAAGGATTAATTTTAAACGTTTGATACCAGAAACGGAGACAATTTTATTTGTTGAGGTTACAAACATAAAAATATTCATCCAAAATTAGCAACACGAAAGTTGTTACTTTCAATCTTAATGGCGCCTTATGCACTCGTGTGATAAATCGTCAGGTCAGTGACCCCTAGAGTTCAAGTCTAGTCGTACCTATGTCTGAATTGCTGATTAAAAGGAAGGAAGCCAGTCCCCCCCCCTGACATAAAGGCTTTGTTTTTTTTTTTTTAAACCGAATAATGGGATTTACTATCACTCTTATAACGCATCCACAGTTTACAGCTGACAGCAAGGAGTATGTTTAGTGGCATCCCGACTCCAACCTTGGACCTTGAGATCCATAGTCCAGTACCTAATTAATAGGGTGCGCCCGGTCTAATATGAAAAAACAAGGACGTTAGTAATCGCAAGAACAAATAAATTCGAATCTGTGTCCTAAAATGTCATTAAGCTTTTAAAATTCGCCCTAACATGTAGAAAAATGTACAACAACATGTGTATAAAACAAAAACTGAAACAAATTAATATGTTAATAAAGATCACATTATCAACGTGTGTTAAAGTGTAAAATACGATTGCAACATTTAAAAAAATTAATAATAAAATGTAAAGGTGTTCAGATTAAGTAAAATATTAACTTTTTGGGGGTTTCTTCAAACTTTGGCAGCGAATTATAATATTTCGTTTCTTTCTAGCTCATAATAGATTCGGTTGTATACAGTTTAAAACCAACTTTTAATATGAACCTTTTAATACCACTGATAAATATTCACGTCATTATATAATTAATATAACTATTTGTTTTTGAATTTCGCGCAAAGTTACATTAGGGCTATCTGCGCTAGCCGTCCCTAATTTATCAGCGAAAGACTAGAGGAAAGGCAGCTAGTCATCACCACCCACCGCCAACTCTTGGGCTACTCTTTTACCAACGAATAGGGGGATTGACCGTCACGTTATAACGCCCCCACGGCTGAAAGGGCGAGCATGTTTGGTGTGACGGGGATTCGAACACGCGACCCTCAGATTGCCTTAACCACCTGGCCATGTCGGGCCATTAATATAATAACATGAAGATTAAGTCAAGTATAACAGAATGTTATCAATCACGCGCCCGAACGTTTCTTCGGAGGACATTTTGTTTCCGAACATCAAAAGGGCGGAGATAGAAGACACGAAGTTATCAAAGTTTCATCGGAAACTATCTGAAGTCAAACTTTTCAAGTTTATTCACTATGAGTTTTCTTTCAATTCGTTTTTCATTGACGTTTGATGTGGTAAGAAAGCACACAATGTCAGTAACAATTAGGTAATCCTACCAGTAATATAAAACTAAATCTAGCATAATGCACTTAAAAGCCTCTAATTACAAGGTTTGTTTGTATTAAAGCAATACCACATCGCACTATCTACTGTGTCCATCGCAGCGAATCGAACCCCGGAGTTTAGCGTTGTAAGTTCGTAAACTTACCGTTGTCCCACCGGGGGACAACATTAAAGGGAAAATATATTTAGTGTATTATAGTGATCCGTGTTTCTAGATTTCCGTCACTCTGCTTTAATTGGATGTACCCCCATGGGACAGCGATAGGTTTGCGAACTTACAATGCTAGAATCCAGGGTTCGATTCCCCGCGGTGGAGAAAGAAGATAGCTCAATGTGGCCTTGCTCTAAAACAACCAAACTTTAATCTAATAGTTCATTTCCGTTTCTGTAAAAAAGTACTTTCTGTTACTGAGTGTGTTCGGACAGAAAATATATTTACATCTATGTATTTATTTCTTCGTTTTAGCCATTTGTATCGGATCACAACCAAAAAAATGTACGCTCAGTTTAACTCTGACGCAGAAAGGTATACCCTTCCAAAGCGATTGGGTTACAGGGTTTCGTATTTTTTATCTGTAATTGATTTATGAAAATCTACGTGTTGTCCTGACAACAAATGTACATCGGTGTTGTCGACGATGTAGATATCCAGTTATGATGATGTATTGTCGTTCAACCAGTTTAGTTAAATGTTACGAATTCAGCTGCATACACCTGTAGTAAAATCATCATCTGTTATACGGTTATTATCGCGAATAAAAAGATGGCTGATTGCGAGTCAAGCGCCCTCTAACCATCTAAAAGATGGGAGGTTTGGTTTGGTTTTGAATTTCGCGCAAAGCTACACGAAGGCTATCTGCACTAGCCGTTTCTAATTTATCAGCGAAAGACTAGAGGAAAGGCAGCTAGTCATCACCACCCACCGCCAACTCTTGGGCTACACTTTTACCAACGAATAGTTGGATTGAACGTCACATTATAACGCCCCCGTGGCTGAAAGGGCGAGCATGTTTGTTGGGACGGGGATTCGAACCCGCGACCCTCAGATTGCGAGTCAAGCGCCCTCTAACCACCTAAAAGATGGGAGAGACAAGTTCTTAGGTTAAGACCAATTGTACAATTTGAAAGGATTGCACATTCAAATTTCAACTGCAGTTATTACATGATTAATAATATGGAGTGTAACGTTATCACCTCGCAGTGATGACGGATACTGACCTTTTAACACGATAACTACTGGGTGGAGTTTAATCACATTCGGCGTATGGGAGAAGCTTTTTTTTTCTTCTGAAAACCCTTTATATTATACGTATTTGGTAGGTACTCTGCGTGTATTTATTTGCATATTTATTTGTGTGTGTATATACTACGTTGCTATGGTGACCCGGCATGGCCAGGTGGTTAGGGCGCTCGACTCGTAATCTGCGGGTCGCGGGTTTGAATCCCCGTCCCACCAAACATGCTCGCCCCTTTCAGCCGTGGGGGCGTTATAACTTGACGGTTAATCCCACTATTCGCTGGTAAAAAGAGTAGCTTAAGAGTTGGCGGTAAGTGGTGATGACTAGCTGCCTTCCCTCTAGTCTCACGCTGCTAAATTAGGGACGGCTAGCGCAGATAGTTCTCGTGTAGCTTTGCGCGAAATCCATAACAAACAAACAAACCGTTGCTATGACTACTGTAACAAGGATGTTTCTGGTTTGTCTGTTACACACACAAATAATCGTCGTTTTCATTGAAGATATCCAGCACCGACTTTTCTATTTTCTCGTAAAAAAACAAAAAAAATATTATAAGATCATTCTATGACCCCCTTTTTAAGTTCGTGATTTATTTTACGTAGTTTAGCGTGTGTTTAGGTACAAGCTCTCTTTTTCTGTGTTTTACTTTTCCACCTTGTGTTATTTTATTAGTCAGATGTGTTTCTTGGATCTTTGTTTTAATCAAACGATCATTTTTTTTTCCAAATCAACTACTGGTAATAACTTCAGGGTTGGTCTATCTATCTATCACTTACCTTCGACTTTTAGAAGCTCCTGTCAATTGACTTGTGCATTTCTCAACATCTACTGGCATGATTCAGTGTTGGATCTACGCAAGACCATGACAAAAAAAAATAAAAACGAATCCTAAAATTAATAAAACAGACGACACAATTGTTTACGATTCACTGTACAGATAAATTCTACTTTAATTTCACTCAATTTTATTTCTCACCCACAAATGTTTTTTTTTCGTCTACGTCTTCTTGCTTGTCCGAGTGTTTTTTAGTAATTCACGTGACTATTACACTTGGTTATTGATCAACTATTGATCTGTTATTTTTAATTAATCTAATGAACGCCGCACGCGCTACTGAGAATCCGTAAGTTGGACAAAATAAATCGCTCACAGTCGTCTCTAATGCATGCACGCGGAGACAAATGTCAATTTTTTTAGTCGAGTAAATGACATCAAATGTCTGTTCAAGGTCTTCCGTGTTGAAAATGATAACATGTCCTCGTTCTGTTGCATTATTTTTCACAAAGTCTACATGATTTACGCATGTCTACTTGAATTACTAAAGATTATTGATAAATGAGAGTTAACATATAAACAAGATTTAGGTATGAAACGAAAAACATTTAATATTGATGATATCCTGTATAAAATGTAGCCTACTGGTTAGGCTTCGGATCAATTTATTTGTTTGTTTTATAATTTCGCGCAAAACTACACGTAGGCTATCTGCGCTAGTCGTCCCTAATTTAGCAGCGATAGACTAGAGGGAAGGCAACTAATCAACACCACCCACCATCAACTCTTGGTCTACTCTTTTTACCAACGAATAGCACCCCCTGTTATCAGCACCCCCCCCCCTAGGTAGGATGATGGGATCTGTTTTCTCTGTTATCAGCGCACCTACCAAGGTGGAAGGCAACTAATCAACACCACCCACCGCCAACTCTTGGGCTACTCTTTTTACCAACGAATAGCGGTAATGATCGTGACGTATATCGCCCCCACGGCTGAGAGGGCGAGTATGTTCGGTGACGGAGATTCGAACCCACGACCCACGGATTGCGAGTAGAACGCCTTAACCACCAGGCCATGTCAGGTCCTGATGCAGATTGAAGGGTCCTTCAATAATCTCTTTACAATAACCTTCTTTTGCTGACCATCTCTGGTAAATGAATTGTAATTTTCATTCTCAATGACACATTATGGGCTAATCGGCTTGGTCAGAGACACCTAAAGTTCAGCTATAGTCGTCCCTAATTTTAAACTACTGACCAGAAGGAAGACAACCAGCTAGCAGCACCAGTTTTTTAACCGAATTACGAGACAGTCAGTTTCACAAGGTGCCAAGAGCTGAAAGTTCGGAACGTGTACAGACAACCAGCTAGAAGCACCAGCTTTTTAACCGAATTACGAGACAGTCAGTTTTATAAGGTGCCAAGAGCTGAAAGTTCGGAACGTGTACAGACAACCAGCTAGAAGCACCAGTTTTTTAACCGAATTACGAGACAGTCAGTTTTATAAGGTGCCAAGAGCTGAAAGTTCGGAATGTGTACAGAGCATTACGTCTCGATCCCTTGAAATACCGTTTTTATACGCCTGAGATTTTGAATCCGAAATGGACAAATTCAGAGTAACGTGAGAAAAAAAACATCTGTAGATCACGTGATAAATACATATATCTTTGTACGTTTTCAAATTGCTTATTTTCTATTCGTGTTCAATAAGGATCTACATTGTGTCTCACACAAAGTCACTGCCCAAGAGGCGTTTAGATCAATACCAGAACTCATCAATTGGGCTGTATCATGAAAGATATAGGATTCTTTGGAACTGTTATTATTAAAGTATTATAGTCTATATATGTATGTATATGGCGTGTCAGAGAATCCCAGTTAAGCCTAAACAAAGTCGTTTGAAAGAAGGTTTTTGTTTCAGAATTTCGCTCAAAACTACCCAGGGACCATCTAAGAATAATCCTTTCTAATTTTGAACTGACCGAATAGTAGTACTTGACCGTTACTCTTATAGTGCAGCCAATGCCCCAAAGTGCGGAGCGCATTTTTTACGGCAATGGATCACGTTTTGAAAAAATTTGGGTTTTGCTGTCTGGACATGTTGTCCTCGACTCTTGAAGGAAGAATCGTAAATTCCAGAAGAATTTACTTTATGAAATGTTTTCCTTGTTTTTTTTTTTTTTAGTATTATTTCAATGGCATGTAAATATTTAATAAAACCAAAACAAGATTTTTAAATTAGTGAAAATAATTATTCTGCTTCTCTTGTATAAATATTGTGTTTTACTTCAATTCTTGTTTTTTCAATATCAAAATAACAGTTTCCTGGCGATAATCAAACTCATTTTACGTCAGGATTATTAAATAACACGCTTCATAGCGTAAGACTCGATATCCGTTTCACTCTGAACAAAATATCTGGCAAAATATTCGAGTGATTTAAACAAGAGTATTTCGGAAAAAACATGACCGTTGGACGGTGACATTATTTCGATTTGTATGTTTTGTTTTTGAAGTTAAGCACAAAGCTACACAATGGGCTATCTGTGCTCTGCCCACCAAGGGTATCGAAACCCGGATTCTAGCGTTGTAAGTCCGCAGACATACCGCTGTGCCACTGGGGAGGGGACACTCTGAACAGATTGTTTGTTTGTTTGTAATTAAGCTCAAAGCTACACAATGGTTTATCTGTGCTCTGCCCACCAAGGGTATCGAAACCCGGATTCTAGCGTTGTAAGTCCGCAGACATACCGCTGTGCCACTGGGGAGGGGACACTCTGAACAGATTGTTTGTTTGTTTGTAACTAAGCTCATAGCTACACCATGGGCTATCTGTGCTCTGCCCACCACGGGTATCGAAACCCGGATTCTAGCGTTGTAAGTCCGCAGATATACCGCTGTGCCACTGGGGAGGGGGCACTCTGAACAGATTGTTTGTAATTAAGCACAAAGCTACACAATGGGCTATCTGTGCTCTGCCCACCACGGGTATCGAAACCCGGACTCTAGTGTTGTAAGTCCACAGACATACCGCTGTGCCACTGGGGAGGGGGGCACTCTGAACAGACATTTTTACCTATCATTTTTTTTATATCCCCTTTTCTCGTGCAAAGATGTTAATTTATTCAGAAGGAACTTTTCATTTACCAAAAGTTTCAGTTACTTCGTTATCTAAAGAAAGAACTAAAAAACAAACAAACATAACTGAGAGAACATCAAACAAATAGAGTAGTTTAAAGCAATGAAACGACATGGGTAGACGAAGACGAAGCAATGAAACGACATGGGTAGACGAAGACGAAGCAATGAAACGACATGTGACAAGAAAGACGAAGGTTTACAAAAAAAGTCACACACAGAATCAGCTTTGTAACGGAAGTCAGAAATATTGTTATCTTTGAATATTTATGTGATGGCAAACATTGTTTCCAACCAACAACCAACATTTCTTGTTTCTGTCCAAGTTAAACGGGTTATTATCTTTACGTTAAGTTAGCAGTACACACCAGATGGCGTCTCTTGTTTCCGTGATGCTGAACTTTTGTTATATACGGTTCTTACATACTAGATTCATTATGTTAAGTTTGCCCTCTGTCTTTTCCGATTTTACACATCAGACGACACATCTTAGCTACATTAAGTTAGTCTTCTATTTTAAACGTTTTTACACACCAGATGGCGCTTCTTGTGGTCAAATTACCCTTTTGTTTTATCCAATTTACACACCAGACGGCACATATTAGTTACGTTAAATTAGTTTTCTGTTTTAAACGGTTTTACACACCAGATGGTGCTTCTTGTTTCCATCAAGTTATATTCTTTTTATATCAAATTTACACACCAGGCGGCACATCTTAGCTACGTTAACTTAATCTTCTGTTTTAAACGGGTTTACACACCAGATGGTGTTTCTTGTTTCCGTCAAGTTATATTCTTTTTATATCCAATTTACACACCAGGCGGCACATCTTAGCTACGTTAACTTAATCTTCTGTTTTAAACGGGTTTACACACCAGATGGTGTTTCTTGTTTCCGTCAAGTTATATTCTTTTTATATCCAATTTACACACCAGGCGGCACATCTTAGCTACGTTAAATTAGTCTTCTATTTTAAACGTTTTTACACACAAGATGGCGCTTCTTGTGGTCAAGTTACCCTTTTGTTTTATTCAATTTACACACCAGGCGGCACATCTTAGCTACGGTAAGTTAGTCTTCTGTTTTAAACGGATTTACACACCAGATGGTGCTTCTTGTTTCCGTCAAGTTATATTCTTGTTTGATCTGATTTTACACACCAACAGGCAACATTTAGACATCTTTATTTATTCATCTATTGCATAATTCATGAACATGGCTCTCTGTACATTGTGTATTTAAACCATCCAAATTCAACACGCAATCTCGTGCCTGGGAAAGAACCGGCTGGTGGTAAAAGATGACGTAGTGGTATAAGCGACGTAGAGTGTTTCTCATATAAACTAGCGATATATATACGTATGTATTAAAAATAATGATATTTAATGTAATGTTAGAGAACAGTATACTCATATTATTTTAGAACCAAAAAATAACACAGACTTCTTCTATCTCGTATTTTTTTTTTATAGTGCCGCCGGTGACTGGCTCGAGGATTTATAACGCTACAATTCGGAGTTCGAACCCTGCTGTAGACAAAGAAACAGTTGCTTGTATTATAATTATTTTCTTTGTGTCTGTGTGTGTGTGTGAAAATGTTAGAAATAGGCAAACAGCAACGACAAACATAAATTTACTCTCGACGTTTCTAGAAAAGCAGCACGTTGGAGCCAGTGAACGCTTGTACAATAGTTAAAAGTAAAAACAGAACTATTTAAATAGGCTATTTGTGCTCTACTCATCACGGGAATCGAAACCCGAGTTTTAGCGTTATAAGCCCTCAGATTTGTCGCTGAGTCACCGTGGGGCTTTCTGGAAAGCAGGCTTATTTGTTTGTTTAAAGCTAAGCACAAAGCTACAAAATGGGCTATCTGTGATCTACCCACCACGGGTATTGAAACCCAGTTTCTAGGATTGTAAGTCCGCAGACGGCACATCCCCA